TGAGACCTTTCTTCCTTCTTTAGGAAGGCCTGGATTGCTATATACTCCCCTCTTATGACTGCCTTTGCTGCATCCCAGAGGTTTTGGGCTGTGGTGTTATCATTTTCATTGGCTTCCATGTACTTTTTAATTTCCTCTTTAACTTCTTGGTTAGCCCATTCATTCTTTAGTAAGATAGTCTTTAGTCTCCAAGTTTTGTTATCTTTCCACATTTTTTCTTGTGGTTGATTTTGAGTTTCACAGCGTTGTGGTCTGAAATAAGCATAGTATGATCTCAGTCTTTTTGTACTTGTTGAGGGCTGATTTGTGACCCCGTATGTGATCTATTCTGGAGAATGTTCCATGTGCATTGGAGAAGAATGTGTATTCCGCTGCTTTAGGATGAAATGTTCTGAATATATCTGTTAAGTCCATCTGGTCCAATGTGTCATTCAAAGCCATTGTTTCCTTGTTGATTTTCTGTTTAGTTGATCTGACCATTGTTGTAAATGGGGTGTTGAAGTCCCCTACTATTATGGTATTATTATCAATGAGTTTCTTTATGTTTGTGATTAGTTGATTTATATATTTAGGTGTTTCATGTTTGGAACATAAACGTTTACAATTGTTACATCTTCATGGTGAATAGACCCCTTAATTATGATATAAAGACCTTCTTCATCTCTTGTTACAGTCTTTATTTTAAAGTCTAGATTGTCAGGGGCGCCTGGGTGGTGCAGTCGGTTAAGCGTCCGACTTCAGCCAGGTCACGATCTCGCGGTCCGTGAGTTCGAGCCCCGCGTCGGGCTCTGGGCTGATGGCTCAGAGCCTGGAGCCTGTTTCCGATTCTGTGTCTCCCTCTCTCTCTGCCCCTCCCCCGTTCATGCTCTGTCTCTCTCTGTCCCAAAAATAAATAAACGTTGAAAAAAAAATTTAAAAAATAAAGTCTAGATTGTTCGATGTAAGTATTGCTAGTCCAGCTTTCTTTTGGCGACCATTAGCATGATAGATGGTTCTTCATCCCCTTACTTTCAGTCTGAAGGTGTCTTTAGGTCTAAAGTGGGTCTCTTATAAACAGTATATAGATGGATCTCGTTTTCTTATCTACTCTGTCTTTTGATTGGAGCATTTAGACAATTGACATTTAGAGGGAGTACTGAAAGGTACGAATTTATTGCCATTATGTTGCCTGTAGAGTTGGAGTTTCTGGTGTGTTTTCTGGCCCTTTCTAGTCTTTGTTGCTTTGGGTCTATTTTTTTTTCCTCTTTTCTCCCTTCAGAAAGTCCCCCTTAAAATTTCTTGCAGGGCTGGTTTAGTGCTCATGAACTCCTTTCTTTAATTTTTGTTTGGGAAACTTTTTATCTCTCCTTCTATTTTGAATGACAGCTTTGCTGGATAAAGAATTCTTGCCTGCCTATTTTTCCAGTTCAGTACATTGAATATATCCTACCACTCCTTGTAGTCTGCCAAGTTTCTGTGGATAGGTCTGCTGCAAATCTGATCTGTCTTCCCTTGTAGGTTAAGGACTTTTTTTCCCTTGCTGCTTTCATGATTCTCTCCTTGCCTGAGTATTTTGTGAATTTGACTATGATATGCCTTGTTGATGGTCTGTTTTTGTTGAATCTAATGGGAGTCCTCTGTGCTTCCTGGATTTTGATGTCTGTGTCTTACCCCAGGTTAGGAAAGTTTTCTACTATGATTTGCTCACATAACCCTTCTACCCCTTTTTCTCTCACTTCATCTTCTGGGACTCATATGATTCTGATGTTGTTCCTTTTAAATGAGTCACTGATTTCTGTAATTCTTCAATCATGCTCTTTTGACTTAGTCTCCCTCTTTTTTTCTGCTTCACTGTTCTCCATAGGTTTGTCCTCTGTGTCGTTGATTCACTGCTCTGGTTCATCCATCCTTGCCACCATGGCAACCATTCGAGATTGCAGCTCAGTTATAGCATTTTTTATTTCATCCTGACTGGTTTTGCTTCTTTTATCTCCACAGAAAGGGATTCTAACCTATTTTCGACCCCAACCAGTATTCTTATGATCATGATTCTGCATTCTGGTTCAGACATTTTGCTTGTATCTGTGTTGATTAAGTCCCTGGCTGTCATTTCTTACTGTTCTTTCTTTTGGGGTGAATTCCTTCGTTTTGTCATTTTGAAGGAAGAAAAGGAATTAATAAAAATTAAAAACAACACAAAAATATCAAAGGATACTAGATGCTATATCTGTTTTGGTCTGGTTGTTGAAAGGAGCTTGGTATATTAGAGAAAAAAGACAAAGATTAAAAAGAAAACATTTGAAAAAATGAACACAATAAAATAGAATACCATAAAATGATGGAAGGAAAATAGAATTTTAAAAATTTACCAAAAAGTCAAAACTATAGTAAACAAAAGAAAAAATCTTGTCAATAAAAACATAAAATAAAAATAAATATTTTCTTTCTGTATTTAAGAATAAGAAAACAAAAAAAGAAAAAAAATTGAATAGATGGATCAGTGAAGAAAATACAATTGAAATTACATTGGTTTCCCCTAGAAGTCAAACTAGGAAGCACTTTATAGTCTGTAAACTAAGCATGCAGAGACTTGTGGTGGTCCTCCTGAGGGCAGTTGGCCCAGTTGGATGGGGCCTAGTGTAACAACTCCATTCTCCACTAGGTGGTGCTGCTTAGCTTACTGGGGTAGATTGTTGTGGCGCATGTAGGCATGTATGTGCATGCGTGGGAGGAGTGAAAATGGCATCATCCAGCTACTCAGTCTGTAGTATCAGAACTCTGTTCTCTCCCCGACCATCAGTTAAGCCTCCCTCCTTTGTCTCTGGCTCCTGTGCACTTCCCGTGTTTACACTGTCCGTGACCAAACTGTCAGGCTTCTAGGCGGCACCTTCCTCCTGAGCTTTATGTAAGGTGGGCTGTGTTTCCCAATCCCTCACTTTTGAGGGACTGCAGCTTTGACCCATTCTGTCTGGGGAGGGTCTCATTGAGCAATGGCCGGGTGCCTGCCCACCCCCAGGAACTTTCGGGAGACCGTGCTGCTGCCGGATGCCCAGAGACTGTGGCTGGGTGCCATCCCGCCCCAGAAGAAGTTCGTGTGATCATCTAGCAGCAGAGTTTCAGGGATTATGGTAAATCACAACACACATTTGGCACCAGATTTTCCCCTTTATGCCCTTGTCCCAACACCAATGAATGTGGTTATTCTCTGGGGTCTGCTGGGACCTTTGCCTGTGGGGAGGCCGCACAGCCTCTACCAAATGTCCTCCCAGGAGGGGAACTGCCTCTCCACATGTGGCCCGAGGATCCCTTGGACCTCACTCTCTGCTCCTGGGGATTCACTCTTCCCACCCGAGCAATGCCAGGTATTGAGCTGCGGAGTTTCAGACTCTGTGCTCCCCCTGTCTTAATGGAATTTAACCCCCCTCTTTTCTCCTTTCTCCCTTCTTTGTTCAGTCCCTCGCAGACTCTTCCTTTTCTCCCCAACTGCTTTTGTTGGGGGGGGGGTGCTTTCCCATAGTCTCCCCCTGTCCCTGTCCTCTCTCCACAAGCAAAAACAGCTCCCTCTCTCCTCCAGTTCACCTCTCTGTGCCATGTACCTGCTGAGTTCTGTGGTTCAGGTTGTGCAGATTGTTGTGTTAATCCTCAAATCAGTTTTCTAGGTGTGCAAGATGGTTTAGTGTTGATCTGGCTACATTTCAGGGACAAGACACACACAAAAAACTTTCATGTTGTTCTGCCATCTTGGCCCCACCTTTTGGGGGCCTCCCTCTTTCTGCTTGAGAATCTTACACCATGACAGAATGTAAATTCATACCCCTGCTGTGTGAGGCTCAAGATACCTGATACTTCTATTCCTCCTGGATTATTTTCCCACATCAGACTCCACTAGACTGCTTTTAAGTTCTAGGCTTTGTGCTAGGTGTTCACTTCCAGCTCCCCAACTGCATTCTGGCCATTGCTCTTTTCCAGCTACACCTGAGTATTCAAACCCTGGTCCCTACAGTCTATTATCTGTTATTTTTCCTGAACTGCTTTGCTTAAGCTTTGATACCTCTTTATTTCTAGCACATGAGAATTCTCACTGTTGCTGCCTTAGGTTGGGCCCTACTTGGTCACTTTGCTTCTAGTTTGATTACCCTCTTACATGTATCTGTCTTCCATTAAGCACCAATATTCTTTGTAATGGAAGAGCATAAATTTTGTAGCTCAGTGTGTCTTTCCCCTTTGCTACCTGGTTTCCTCCCTCCCCTTTCCTACCTTCAGTTCTCTAGGCCATGCTGTTCCACTCCTTTGTGCTCTGCACGCACTATTTTGCAGACTGTCTGTGTCCCAGTTTTGTGTCTGGCTAAAATTCAGCTCTGCTATTAATGTCTTCATATATATATGTATATATATGTATAGGTGTATATGTATGTATATATATATATGCACATACGTGTGTATACGTAAGTGTGTATATGTGTATATATGTACGTATACACATGTATTATATTAACGTATGTATATTAGAGCACGTGCACGCACAGGGGAGATCGGTGTGGGGGGGTAGGAATCCTAAGCAGGCTCCACACTGTCAGTGTGTTAACCAACATTGGGCTCATCTCACAAATTGTGAGATAATGACCTGAGCCAAGACTGAGTCTGATGCTTAACTGACTGGGCCACCCAGGCACTGATCTTTTTAGATCAGTCATTGATACATAGTAACACTTGGTAGTCCTTTGTTTTGTTTTTGGGTGGTTTTTTTGCATTTTTATACAACTCGATAAAAAATAGTATTTCAAGCTGTACAGTCACCAGAAGTACACAGTTATCAAAAAAGCACACACTTCACTTGGCGTCTCCTCAGCAGTCCTTTGTTAAGTATTTGTGTGGTGTGATTACATGTGTGCATATCTGCATGTGAGTCTGTTGTGTGTTATTCATTAGCATTGAACTGGCTGAGGTTAAGGATATGATTTTTCAACACACTGCTGCACTGTTGCATGCTCACATGCTGCTTTTTCTTTCTCCCCCTCCAGGGCTGTTGTGTTTGTTGTGGATAGTGCAGCCTTCCAACGAGAGGTGAAAGATGTGGCAGAGTTTCTCTATCAAGTTCTCATTGACAGTATGAGTTTGAAGAACACACCGTCATTCTTAATCGCCTGCAATAAGCAAGGTACCATCATGTTTTCCAGCAATCATAATTGAGATTTTTGTGGGATTGCTACTAAGAGTTAACACATTTATCTGTGAATATAAAGTTATTATTGAGAAAGAGAGCTAATTGTTAATGGACTACGAAGAATTTTAAATCTTAAAATTGTTTATACATCTGCATTTTCATTAGTTTTACCATACAAAGGAGTGACTATGATCAGTTTTTCTTTGATACAGTGTTTTGCATTTTTTTAAAATTATAAATCATTTTACTTTATTTACCAAGCTGTTTTGTCAGATTGACAATATGTCATCTCACACACAGTTGTGGAGGGCCAGAGGGGGAGTCTCTCCTTTCAAACAAGTTTACCTTCCAGCACATTTCATCAAGGGGAGTTTGCAGAAGTTGTTTTTCTTTAACCTCATAGCCATTAAAAACTTTTCATCATACCAAGTAAAACTAGGCTTCAGTTTCATTACCTCTAAAATAAGATAAACTAGTTGATTTTATGTCCTCTTTCAAATTAAAATTCTGATTCTATGAAGAGCCCATTGCATTTCTCAGAAGTGATCAGGTAGTAATAACCTTAATGATGTCTAATCAGGAATCGGTCTTAGAATCATTACCTGACCTCTCTGTTTTTTCTCTTCAGTATAAAGAGAGAAAGTAATATTTATTTGGGTTCTGCTATGTGCCAAACCAGTGTTTATCTCTTACCAAGGTGCACTTGAGTAACATACCATCTTAGTATCAGCTGGAATTATGCTTAGTTTACTTTTATATGACAGGGTTTTTCTGTTAGAGTGAAGGCTCTTGGTACAATAAAAAAACTGGTAGGTGTTCTTTCTGTTACACTGGCTGGACTTCTGTACATATTAATTTAAAAGGTCTGTAAGATGTAGAAAACTTTCAGGAAAGAACTAGTCAATTTTAGGGTCACAAGCTTAATACATTTGTAAGCATTTTTGTAGGAAAACCCATGCATGCAAATATAAAGCTTATTACTTTGATAGTGGAGCTACTAATGGTAAAAAGCTCTTTTAAAAAACTAAAGGGAAAAGAAACTTACTGGTTTAAATAGGAATTTTCCATATGTGCAATAAGTTTTGGGAAGAGACCCTTTCTGGTTTAAACTATAACAGTGTCTTTATTTCCGTACAGACATTACAATGGCAAAATCTGCAAAATTAATTCAGCAGCAGCTTGAGAAAGAACTGTAAGTATGAATAAGTCATATTGGTTAATGTAGATCTTAACTCTTAGGAAATACAGATATATTGCTTAAAGTCTGGTTGTATATGATTATCATCGTCTGATAAATAGTGTGAAATATATTTGTTAAATGACAAAATTTATGGAATTTTAAAAAGCCTCAATGGGATGTTCATGGATACTTTAAAAATTCATGGATAGGGGCACCTGGGTGGCTCAGTCGGTTAAGCGGCCGACTTCGGTTCAGGTCGTGATCTCGCGGTCCGTGAGTTCAAGCCCCGCGTCGGGCTCTGTGCTGACAGCTCAGAGCCTGGAGCCTGTTTCAGATTCTGTGTCTCCCTCTCTCTGACCCTCCCCCGTTCATGGTCTGTCTCTGTCTCTGTCTCAAAAATAGATAAACATTAAAAAAAAAAAAAAAATTCATGGATAGAAGATCTCAGCTTTTTTGAGGCTATAAATTCAGTGTATTTTCCCACTGTTTCTAGTTCATTTATAGTAATTATGAAAGGTTTTAGAAACTACAGACTTTGAAAGCCATGGAAATTTTTGTTGGAGTAAGAAAGGAGCACTTTGGAAGAATTTAAACATCTATGATACTATATTTTATAGCTTATTTTATTGTTTTCAAGCTACATGACATTATTTAGCTTGATTTTAATGTTTAAACATTTGTAAATTGAGCTGTAACCTTTTGAATTTTAAGGAATCTAACATATCTGTACTCTGCCACTTTGTAAGAGCTAGCTTACCTAGGAGATAACATCAACCTTATAATGAAGCAAGTTTGTTTTCTTATTGCTGTGTATAAGGACTTTTTTTTTCAAATGTTTATTTTTTTTATTTTGAGAGAGAGCTGTGGAGGGGCAGAGAGAGAATCCCAAGCAGGCTTCACACTATCAGTGCAGGGCCCAGCGCAGGGCTTGATTCCCATGGTTCGTGAGGACATGACCTGAGCTGAGATTAAGAGTTGGACACCCGGACGCCTGGGTGGCTCAGTCGGTTGGGCATCCAACTTCAGCTCAGGTCATGATCTCACGGTCCGTGAGTTCGAGCCCCGCGTCGGGCTCTGTGCTGACAGCTCGGAGCCTGGAGCCTCTTGAGATTCTGTCTCTCTCACTCTCTCTCTCTCTCT